GTTGATTTCATACCTTTACTGCACTAAAAACAATACTTTGCAATGTGATTTCTTTTGCGATGCATTGCCAAGTTCAGCAACTCGTCATAATTATGGTGATTTCCAAGGTGTAAAAGAATTTGATTCTTTAATTTGTGAATTTTGACAAATTTTTAAAAAAATACTATTATACCAAGTTCAATTATATCTTTAAAATGATAACAGTATTTTATAATAATACCTTTTTAGAAAAATGACATTATTTACAGCTGCCATGTTTTAAAATGTCTTTACCATTCATTTTTGTTATTTTCGAACATCTTCATTCCAGAATTTAGATAAAATAAAATAATAAATGTTTATAAGGCAAAATTTCTGAATTATTTTTGAGCAAGAGTAAAATGGCTTCTGTAATGTTAAAAGTAATTTCATTAATATAATTTCTTATGATAAGTTACAAGTAATTTCTTCTTTTTTTCCCCCCATATAAATCTTTCAAAATATTATGTTAGCTTTTACTATAAAACTCATTTTATACTTTCTTAATTTTATTCACACGTCGTTGACAGATATATGAATAGCTAAATTCAAAAAAGGATATGACAAAATTAAAAATGCATTAATGCATAATGGACACATACAACAATAAGACTAGTAAGAATTTCTTATATTGTTTGGAACATTTTTGGAAAATGCAGTGAAAACAAAGTTATCTGAACTTTTTACAGTACTTCCTTATTATTACAACTCCTATTACCTAAATGTTGCAAAAAGCCTTCTTATTAATGAATTGTGTCAAAACAATAAAACTTCTCTATGTTTCTCTCATGACTCTGGCCTGTCTGTTTGGTAATGGTATGCAAAGAACTCCAAATAGGGTTGCTGCTTTGGTGCAGTTCATTAAAAAGAGGGTTGTTGGCACTGCTAAATAATGGATTCCATAATAATTAGAAAGAAATTTTTATATTTTTGATTTGAAATGTCTATTGTGATCTATTTCTCTTTCCCTTAATTTCATAATTTAGAACAGGGTTGCCACTCAAACAGGAGAATGAAATTCCCTGACTTTTCCAAGTGTGTTTTAAGAAAATTCCAGTCTATCCATGTAGTGTGCATTGGCTGCACTGAGGGGTAAATTGTGTTTCGACTTGAAAACACAAAAATTTGCCAATTATATATGACTTATCCCCAAAGCATTACTATTATAACTATGATAAGAATTGTTTAACAAAAAGATATATTACAACCTATATTTACAAAAAATTAAAAATCTGATGTGTACACCACGACTTCCTTGTATGGAATATTAAATTATACGCATTTTTTCTTGCATTTCGTTTAAACTTATTGGATTTAATTAAATCTACTTCGCCGACAGCACATAAACCACAATAGAATAAATGCATTCTTTAAAATTCACTCTATTTGTTTACCATAGCAACACTCTGGCATTAGGTTCACTTAACAGTATTATATTTCGTTCATATTATAACTTACTTTTTTTCTGGTCATTAACTACTAAAGAGTTTTCGCCAGTAGATCGCATTAAAAGTGCACTAGGCAAAGATATTTCCAAATAAATGGTACTAGGGAAGTACCAACATCTGTGGGCGAAGAAAATTCAGCAGCGTGAGCAGGCATATCTTAATACTTACTAAAGTAGGCGTTCATCATAAAATATTATAACTATGTCCATGTCTATGTCTTATCACTTAGTAAGAGGCAATCGACCATTAACAGCCTTTACCAATATATTATTATAACTCAGAATGCACAAAATTTATATCATTTAAAGAATTATCTAATCGTTGCCACATGTTCTATTCAAATACTATAATAAAGGTAGAACGATGTATAAAAGAAATTAAGCAAACAAAACAAAAAAGAAACAGTTTTTCACAGACGATTGAGTATTTCTCATTCAATTAATTCAGTTCTCACTTCGCGACAAGGCAAAAATATATAAAAGCTCAAAATATCTGTATTAAAAATTAAATTACTAGTTATTAAAAATTAAGTAAATCTTAAAACACTTATTTCCCCGAAAAAATTCCAGAAAGGATTAAGCATGATTTAATTCGCAATAATAAATGATGCCATTATCTTTGTTGTTGCGAAGCTACGTTCCTCTAGATTGGCAACAAATCCACTACTCTGCTGTTTCAAATGTAAACAAGCAATGGCCAACATCAAAGAAATTATTAGGCTTAGCGGCACTTAAACAACTTTAAAATTGTTGATAATTCTAAAAATATTGCATGCAGATTTACTAAAGGCATAAAAACCTTAACCAGAAGATAAGAACAACATAATTCAATCATTTTTAAAGCAAAAAATATACAATTTACAAACATATGAGTAAAGAAACTGAGACAGGTAACAGAGTGGACATATATATAAATATATTTATATACGTTTGGCGCGACCGATTGCAACCAAAATACGAGGTGCACATCTACATGTTATAGTAGTCCTATATACAAAATTTCAGCGTTCTGAGACTACTGGTTTTTGAGTCATGCGAGATACCTTCGTACAGACGCCACGGAAAATTCTCTTCAGAATTCATTTTAAAGCAGTTTATAATTTTTTTGGAGGAAACGTGTCTTTTATTCTGTCCTTATGTACACATATCACGCAAAAACATCATTAAATTGCATTCAAAAACGATCAAAATAGATATTTTCATTGAAATATGCTGCCTGAAACTTTTCGCGATTACAATACTCCTTTTTACTTCGTACAAGGAAGTAAAAAGAGCCCTTATGGTCCTCGATAATCTGAAGTGTGTGGGAATGCGATTTCTACTAGTATTAGCATGAAGCATGGTCTTCTTTTACATATTATCTAAAGCATAAAATATAACTTCAAAAATGCAACATTCTTTCTCAGCTGTGTGTCATAGTGTTTTATTTTCCCACTTAGTTACATCTTCTTGCAACATGATACTAGTTCAGTTACAGCATGATACAGTTTATGCATGCAGTGTTATATTAGCAATTTTTTTTATAAAATAATAATATTCAATTTAAATCAAGTTCAAAAGCTTTTATCCATATTTTACATAAGTATGTCCAGCTGAGTTGCATCATCAAAGTGCATAAAAACATAAATTTTAAAAATTTTAAATGTCGCGTGAAATTTAAAAAGTTTTTGTCTTTAGACTTACATAACTATATTCAAGCATCCGTCTCTTTACATGCACATCAAAAGCACACAAATTTAATCTAAAAAACAAAAATTAACAACTGGAAAAAAATGTCTTAAGAGGGGCACCAGTATAAAATATATACCAGCTCTCAAAATTCAGGACTTCACTTTAGAGTTTGTTTAAATCTCAATTTTATTTTCTTAGGGTCCATAAGTTACAATTCATGCAAAATTTTACCACAATTTAAATTATTTTATATACTGCTCCTTAAAGGGTTAATGCAATCAGCAACTAGTTTTATTTTATTGCACTTATTTCTTTAACAACTATTGTCAGTTTTATTCTTGCACATAAGTATTTCTTAGGGCTTTTGCTATTAGGAACTAAACCTGGAGCATTAACAAAGACAAGTGGCAGATTGTGTTCCAATAGAAAGGGCTTAGTACGTAGGCATTCCACATCAATAATTTTTTATCAGATGATTTGTAGATGATTATCCTTTGTTTTCATAAAAGAATTTAACTGCCCTTTTTATTTCAATACACTTTAGTTTCTCCTTGCGTATGCACCCGTTTAAAACCACACAACTATTTACAGTGCCCCCCTAACAAAAAAAAAAAAAAAAAAAAAAAAAAAAAGATGGTACACATTAGAAATTTATTTCTTTGGTATAAATAATACAGGAAAAATCACCTGTATATGATTTTGAATAGTACGTTAGTATTTTACTTCTGTTGATATAACTAAGAAAAACGACTATCCTTAAAAGCTTCTCGAAGCATAAGAAACTTGTATTATTTATAGCTTAAAGGAATGGATTAAGCAGCCATAATCTTGCTTTGTGCTCATTGGTCAATGTGTTCAAAATAATATAGAGCTGTGCTTGATGCTCATTGGAAAACTGAAACATGACATTTTCAAACCTATCCTTTCTCACATGCATAGCAGTAATCTGCCACCAACAGGTTTTTTTTTTTTTTTTTTTTTTTTTTTAAAGACAGGAAATTCCTTTTCTGGCTGCAGATTATGAAATCTTAAGCCAATAACATAAAAATCGTAAGACAATTAGAAATAAGAGAAAATCTGATTGGTGAGAGTATGATAAAAAATTGGAAGTTCAAAAATCTGTTTATATGTATGCAGATTTGTTGTATATATAATGTTTTTGTTATTAACAGGGATTATGTGATATAATATGCTCTTCTTTTTTATATGTATATTCTATAGTTTTATGTTATTTAAGTATCAATATAACAAAATACACATTATAGAAAGTTCCAATTCAGAAAATTCCAACCTGACACATATAAAATATTTATATATTTTTAAAAATATATCCAAATATTTTTAAAATGAGCATAATAAAATTTTAAGTACTTATTTCTTTCAAGCATTAATTTTTTTTTTTGGTAGACCTGTGTCAATTGGTAAAATTCAATAATTTGAATTTGAAATTGATAAAAAAATTAAATTTTGCCAGTTATTATCACTGCTTGATGCTTTTAGTTTTCTGTAATTTAAAAATAAATAAAAACCTTTCTATGAAAAAGGCATTAGTTTTACAAAGAAAAAATAATAACATAAAAATCACATAAAATCTTTTTATTTACAAAAACTAATTAAACATTATAAGCTATAAAAAATGTGCATGTTCCCATAATACAAAAATGACATTTCACACTAAGGAAATCTAATATTCATAGATCATGCTAAGCATAAAGACATTACTCAAATTATTTATAATTCTTTAAGTTTTACATTAAAGCTATGTATTTTATTATAAAAATAAAATATTTATGAAACTGATTCTGGAAATATATATATTCAACATAAAAGCTGTCTAAGAAATATAGACACAGTGGTATAATAATACATATCAAAAATAGCATATTTATTTTTTATATAGTATTTTGGTACAATATGAATGATTTTAGAATTTATTGTGGGTAGCCAATCCCAACATAGTGACCAATATGTTCTTCAGCAGTTAAACATTTAACTAATATTTCAGCTAAATCATACTTAGAAATTACTCTTCCAACTGGAGCTTCATTTTTTATCTCATAATTTCCTTTTGCAGGCTCCTCTGGAAATTAAAATCAGTTATCAATTATAACTTTGTAAAGAAAATAGAACTTTGAAATGAAACAATTACTAATTCCAATGCTTGTATTACTAAATGTAAAGTAATATTGGTCATTATTATAATAATAAAATATATTTAATATGAAAAACATTAAATTTTGGGTTGTTGAACTTGTCATTTATTTTCCTACATTAATGAAACATAGCTTTTGTATCATAGCCAAGTTACAGTGATATTTTTTCCTTGGTAATTAATATTTTAGTGATGAAAACCCAAAATATTTATCAAAAACAAAATAAACATTTAGCACATTCTTAAATATACAGTCTTAAACTTTTTAATGTTTTAACAGATAAAACAAGAACAGGAAACTAAACAACAACTTCCTGTATCCATTTCTTGAGCAGTTATCTGGATAATTATTACCATATTTTATTCTAGAATGTTAAACTGCAATTTTAAATTAGAAATTTTTCAATTACAGTTTTCTTATTTTACTTAATATCACTTTCGTAGTCATATCTAAAGATATAGGAATGTATTTTAAGATGCGGTTTATTGCAATGCTTTTTTTTGAGTCAAAATATTAGACATTTACCAGGAGTACGTTTACAGACCACTTATATTTATCTGTTTTTACAATAATATGTAGTAGTTGAAGAATTTATTCTATTTATACAGCCTCAAATTCTTTTTTGTTCAACATAGTATACACCAGTGGTCACCAACCGGTGGTCCGTGAAAACGTTTTGATGGTCTGCAGAAAAATTGGGACATTATATTTTTATAAAGATTCAGTTTAAAAAATGATGAGTAACAAAACCTATTATGGAGTATGGATTATACTTTTTTAAAATTTTAGTTACTACTTTCAGCAAAATTCCTTCTGAATTTAGTGACTTTTTAGCTACTTTTGATTTGTCTCACTGTTGATAGATGGTGCCATTGCTGAGTAAGCGATGATTATTATGTTTACAAGAATTAAAAATTGGTGGCATAACACTTTAAGTTTATTGATGTTGCTTTGCGTTTGCCAGTTTATTCTTGCTTTTCGTGAAGTTCCTTTTCAGTGATATGAAAATGTAAAGCTTTCTGTACAAGAAGGTAAGATTTTTGTACTTTTCATATAATTTTTCAATGTTATTAAAATATGTGTATCAGTGAGATGTTAATAGTATTTTAAATGTTACTCATAATCAGGGACATAGCCTGAATTTCCATAAAGGCATGCTGCTGAACACCAAATGTTTAAAAAATTATATCAACAAATGAAAATTAGAATTACATATATTTGAAAGTTGAATATTGTTTTTGCGTACTTAATATGTTGTTTTTAAGGTCTGATTTAAGTTTTTTTTTTTTTTTTTTTTCAAATTCATATTAGTGGTCCGCCAAATATAAAATTATATATGTAGTGGTCCGTGAAGTTCTAAGGGTTGACGACCATTGATATACAACACAATGCTAAAAGTTGTACATCATTACCAACAGAATATTTTGATTGTTTTAAAAAACTCACTGATAGCAATAATTATCAAATAACTGATAGCTAATAATGACACTAATTTAACTGTGAGTGGATTAGAAAAATATACAAATGCAAAAAGTATATTTGAACAATTATTACGAAATGACATTGTCCTAATGCAATTAAATAATTTTATATGTTATATATACAGAATTTATAACTATTAATTTTTAATTATGTATAGTTGAAAAGATTAAAAATTTCTAGCTGACTGCTCTGGTTAAAAAATTTACGATTTCTGCCTTTTTATTTTCATTGGACAACAGAGAATGCCATAGACAAAGTTTTTATTCCGGAATTTACAATTTCTTTTATCAGAGTAAAAAATGTATATTTTTAGCGTACGAATTAGGAATTTTCTTTTAATTTTTTTCTAATCTATTATTATATACCTGTCTGGAAAAGAATTTGAAATTTTCTTCATTAATGATATAATATTTGTACATGCTTTGGCTAGTATACTGCTAAATCTATTGGATAATTTACAATAAACCTAATATTTTAAAGTAACACCATATATTAAACTGTTGGCAAAACATTTCTTGATTACAGAAATATGATTCAATACAATTTCATAACAAATTAATTGTTTTTAATGTAAAAACTTAAAACCAATCTGAAAACATTAAATTACAATCTAAAACCCTAACGTTCTTAACATTAAAGTTTCAAACTAAATTCTGAATTTTTAACATTTATACTCATGTGAACTTAATGAAATTTTGGTTAACAAATTCAGCAATTTAAAAGCGGTAAATTGCCACTTGGCAAAGCATAGGATATTTATGTTTCAAATTTAATTAAAAATCTCTATGATTGAAGAAAAATAGGTTGCCACTGCAAAAAATAAACTATTGGTAGTGGTATAATATACAATCTACTCCTTTCAGTTATTTATTTCTTAGACGGTGCCACTAAAATAATATATGAAGATAAATGCATATATAATTAAGAATGCATAAATGAAAATACCAACCTATTAAATTCATTCCAGTTTTACAAAACAAAAACAGGGCTATTTTGATGAGTCATTCAGCCATACATTAAGAATGTAATGGAGCATGGCATAGAACAAATTATTATTAATAATTCATTCTTTAATTAAGGGATCTGCATAATGTTTCTGCAAGATAATATGGAAGTATTTGTGATGTGCTACTACTCACTGATCATATTACAAGTTCCTATTCATTTACACAAAATATTTTTCTACAGTGGCTACAAAAATATTTACCTATGGTCTTATAAGTGGCTACAATTTTGTTAAGACACTAAATTTCGTAAGGTGAAAATCAAACACTCCAAACAATTGTTAAGAAAGCATTTGCATGGGATCCCCCTTGAGTTCATTAGATGAAAATAAAATTATTGAAAACATGCGGTAAAATCCTAGTATCAAAATGCGGTAAAATCCTAGTATACGGTGCAGCGTTGGCGCGAAAATTATTGCCAACACCAAAAATGATCCGAAGAACGTCTCTCTCTATATATATACTATACACATAGTATATATACTATATACATAGTACGAGTATATACTATGTTTAACTATATATTTTCTTTTGAATGAACCGTTAACTACTCATCGTATATGTCCCATTTTTACTGCTCATCATAAAGTAGCCAAATTTCGTGTGCACCGGATACTAGGATTAAACCTCAAAATGCTTTTGAAAAAATTTAAATCTTTTGAAAATACATAATCTTAAATATCTCTTTTAGAAAAATAAAAAAAAAGTTTTTAGTTCCCAATTAATAAACTGCAATAAAATTACACAACTAACTAATTTACATGATTTTAAACTTACATATTTTATGACTGAAAATATTAAAATCTTTGGATATTGTATAAATTATACCCAAGATATTATTCTTTGGTTACAGAATACGTTAACATTAATATTCAAACTAAGCATAAAAGAATATATTACAAAATATTTTTAAATACTCAGTTTTCCTACCAGCAATATGTGGAGGAAGTACAGCAACCCATTCTCTATCACTAGCTTTTAATGCTTCCAGCATTCGTTCATGATCTTCAGTCACTGGGATGTATGGCTTCGGCACTTTTTCTCGAGGCCAAAAGAGAAATGCTAAAAAAATTATTACATGATGTATATATATATTTACTAGTTACAATTTGTTCTGTATATTTAAAAAGTTAATTTTGTCCTCTTTATATATTGTTTTTGCAAATGAATTATACAAATTACTAAAAGAGCATACTGTATGTCTTTAATTGTAACATGCATCTTTTAATTTCAACACCATAAATTAAAATTTATTATTTTAGAATAATTAATATATCAGAAAAAATGATTGTAGGACACATATCATTTTTATAAGCTCTTATTTAATTCATTCATAGCATTTCTCCCTATGGTCTAAAATTTGTCATAAATTTTTAATCCACCTCTTCCAGATAAGCTATCAAGTTCAAATTTTATACACACTATTTGTAGATAGCAATTCAATGTAGTGAATCAATCTTTTCAAAATTTGATCTGGATTTTTATATTTAATGTTAAAAAGATTTTTGCACATATCTTCATTTAATGAACAAACTGAAAATTGCAGAATTTTATTGTTTGCACTATTGAATAGAGAAGATGAAAATTTTTTATATGAAATTTGTATGAAAATTTTAGTTAAATTTCTGAAAATTCTATGTCTTTTTTTCAAATATTTCATGTCTATTATTTTAAAATTTTAATAAATGCAAATTTATTGGTTACAATGTTTTGAAATGTTCACAGACTGTAAAACGAACACTTCACCCTCCTTTAAAACAACGATGATAGGAAAAAATATCCAAATGGGCAATTTTCTACACTTTTTAAATATGCAGAACTACTACTTCTTTCTTTCACTTAGAAAATATTTCTGAGGTTATTATGTGACATTAATAAATGATTTAAATTTATGTTTTGATTTTGAACACAAGCAAACAAGAACACAAGGCTATAAATCAGTAATCTGAGTGATTGGAGGTGACAGCAGTTTTTGTGTTTAGTTTTATTTATAGTTTAAAGCATGCCTATAACTGCTAAATTAAAGAAGGGCAAATTTAAACTCATCACTAAGGACTGTTCACTTAACTGTTCCAGAAGACCAAAAAATTGTAATCCAAAGAATCTAATAAAGAGCAATACTATTTTCAAAACTTACCATGAATTACTGAAAAATGTAATATACACATAAGTATTTACTGATAACAAGAAATTAAACACATAAGTATTTATTGATAACAAGTTGAGAAACAATTGTTCAAAAATTCAATTTAGAATTTTCTTTTTAAATTTAATGTTAAAATGATTTTTCACAAATACCCTCATTTAAAGAACAAACTAAAAATCAGAGATTTTACTGTCCGTACCACTGGAGAGAATGGCGGGGGGGGGGAATAAACTTACAAGATATTTTAATGGAAATTCTAACTTTTTGCTAAAATCACTAGATTTTTTTTTTTCCTTATCATTTGATGCAAACAATAGTTAGAAGTAATAGAATGAATATTCATTGATGAAAAATGATTTTTCAATTGAATAATTTGGCTGATAATGTGGCATTGACACTAAAAAGATGAAAATAAAAAAATTCAAAAAAAAATTTTTTTTATCAAATAAACTTTTGCTTAAAATTTACAAAATAATTAAACAAACATAGAAAAATAATTTATCATATAATTTAATGAGATTAAATAATTCTTTTTTCAAAATTCATCTACTATTTTATATCATGAATAACAAAATGCCTTATTAACAAAACCTTATAACTGAATTACTTTGTCAAGAATACAAGCCATTAACTTCATACATTTATCAAGGGCACCCCACACTTTTATTATTCATGACATAAAATTGTAGATGAATTTTGTGAAAAGAATTATTTAATGTCTATAAAGTAAATGGTACACTGTTCATCTGTTTTTAATTCCTTAATTATTTTGTGAGTTTTAAATAAAAGCTTATGTAGTGGGTATTTAAACATTTATAGAATGATTTTGATAAAGAACTAAATAAAAAGCAAATGATATAGAATAAAAATTTCTAGTAAAAGTTTATTTAAAGAATACCTGAAAAAGGTACATAAAACATCTGCCAATGCAGAGATCCATTGCAAAGTCTTTAAACAACTCTGTAGCAACAATAAATAAAATAGCAAACCAAGCTTTACTACTAAAAAATCTAAAAAACATAATGTTCACCAAGTTTTGACATGGCATTTGGCTCAATGCAGAACAATTTGTAAAACCCTGTATGAAAGCTATTTAGTAGGAGATAAATGGAAATACATTGTAACCTTAGATGAAACATGGGTTTACCTACATGACTACAAAAAAAGTGTTTCATTTATTATCAGAAATGAAAAAATTGTGTGAACTTGGTTTTGTCAAATGGAAAGAATTTTTCATTAAGGGGTTTATCATTGTCCTAGGATTTTCTTACAATAGGAAATTTTAAAAAAAGGAAGAGTTAAAAAATTACTTGGTATCAACTTAACATACTATCAAGAGAAAATTTTATGTCCAGTATGTACAGAAGAAATTCAATTTTTTAATCCGAATGGCTTTCAAAGAGCTAAAACTCCATCAACACAAAGCAACAAATCATACTTCAAAAGTACCACTGTGTTCCTTGAAAAAATTAAAACTGATACAGGTAATTGAATATATAGTACACAATCTGAGATCCAGACTCGTTGGGACTTCGGCGATTCTGAATTTTTACAGATATTAGAACACGAGTTTAAATTTAGTAAGATGGCATGTTGAAATTATAAATTCATAAATATGTAAAGGCTGGCTGTTATCATGTGTACACCTAAAATTATGCCAAAAACCTAGCAGTTCTACTGAATATTAAAACTAGTGGTGAAGATCATCTGAAAGTATCAAAATAAGGTTTACCTCATTTCAGTAACAACTGCATTTATTACATAATATTCAATATTTTCTGAAAAAATATTGGTACAACTCTAATATACGCCCTAATTTCACCAAATGTGGCAATATGTGCTCTGCGCTGGTTTTTGGCACGATTGCGTGTTCTATGGCAACCCTGTTGACATTGAAAAATCTTTCGCTGGAGCTCGTTGATTCGCCTCTCTGTCTGAGAAGATGGGAGGGAAAGATAAAATGGTAGTTGTTGAATTGAAGTTCGGCAAAAGGAAATATCATTGTGGCTATCCTGTTGAGGGGTAGTGGGTATTTGGAAGTGTGGAAAGAGGGTCTGGGAGATTATTTTTAATGGCAGTGCATGATAGAAGTAGGGATTCGTGATTTTATTTATTTGTGAACCATAGTATAAATTTTCTGGTTAGTGTGTCTGGCTGTCATGTAAATACGATAGTGATTACATGGTGGCATGTTAAAGGCAGTATGAAATTTATATTTCTGCTATTCGGAAACGCATTAATTCATGGTAAGTGCATTTTATTTTATCCTTGTTCTTATTTTGAAGAATGTTATGTTCATTGGTTCTTTAGTATGAATTTCTGTCGTTATTGTTGTTTTTTTAAATTGTTTGAAATTTATTTTGTTGTTTAGTGTCTAGACTGTGCAATTCGTAGATGTTTTTTAAAGTTGACGCAGAATGCTGTGTACATGGTATTATTTGAAATTTATTGTTGTTATGTTATTTTATTAAAGTGAGGAGTGTGTAGATCGTAGATTCCTTCCTTACCTAAATTGCGCAATTCGTAGAATTTTTTTAAAATTTAAACATGATGCTGTGTACATGGTATTCTTTGAAATTTATTGTTGTTATGTTAATTTATTAAAGCGAGGTGTGTGTAGTTTGTAGATTCGTTCGTTGCCTACATTGTGCCATTCATATATGTTTTTTTAAGTTAAAACATGTCGCCGTGGATTCTTGTCAAATATTTTTGGTTAGAAACTTTACGTTTTTGCTAAAATTTTTTGTTTTCGTTTCGGATTTTTAGCTAAATTGTATGTTGAAAACATAGTTTTTGCATGTGCGAAAAACGCGTTTTTGGAGACATTTTAGGCTAAAAGTTCGAAATGTAAACAAAAAATTTAGACAGTAATATGGCAGCGTGAAGTTTGCGCATATCAGAGTAGTTCCAAAATATTTAATGCATTTTACAATAAGGATATAGTTTTTGCTTCAGATATCTGCATTCTGAAAGAAAATATGATTTGACTTTCTTTTATCCAAATAAAATATCATAAGGGAAGATATCTCATGCAAAGTAAAGATGAACACTAAAGGAAATGTCTTACATGATATGCAACATGACACTCTCTTAACATCATGTTTTTTCATTGCTTCCAATATATTTTTCGTTCCATCAGACATTACAGTAGTCGGACCTAATAAACATGAATTATTCAGAAATTAAATTTTGTGAAGTTATACATAATTATACATTTTATATTATATTAAAATGAACTTACTCAAATCATTTCTTGTGCCCAGGACAACAATAACAGCATCATGCCCTTTAATTCCTGTTTCTACACCTTCTTTATCTAAAACATCACCTTCCACTACATGATTAGGAACAACAGTTCCAAGTTTTGACTTATCTCTGACAAATGCAGTAACTTCATAACCTAAAGATTTACATTTTTTAATTACAAATTTTAATCAATCAACACAAAGAAACAAGGTTTTTGAAAATACACTTTTTATTGAATTTCAAAGATTGACTAAAGCAGCTAATACATATAAAATATTCAAGATGACATAAAAATAGGCACTTTTCCATTATTGGGACCAGATTTAGAAATGTATATGAGTATACACACATATATGTATATGTGTATGTCTGTGTTTACATACAGAGATGCATTCATACATTTCTGAATCTGGTTCCGATACCAGAAAAGTACCTAAAAGTAATATATCATCAGTTTCATTAACCAATAATTATGAATATATTTAACATATCATGGCTTACAAAAAGTGTCAAAAAGTGTCATACAATATATTATTCTGCAGTATATTTTGGAGGCCGTTTCTCCTTAAAAGCCGTGAGGCCTTCAATGCGGTCTTTCGTTCCAATCGTTTGAGCATAGCAGGCTTGCTCAAATGCTAGGCCACTTTGCAGGTCCACATCCAACCCTTTATTTATAGCAAGTTTAGCTAATCGAACAGCAATTGGGCCTTGAGTTATAATTTCTTCAGCTAATTCCAAAGCTTTCACAAATGCTGCATTACTGTTTTCATTCTGCTGAACTACATGGTTAACCAAACCAATTCTGTGAGCTTCATTTCCATCAATAATACGACCTGTAAATATAAGTTCTTTAGCAAGCGCAGATCCAACAATCCGAGGCAGCCGTTGAGTACCGCCACCTCCAGGAATAATTGCTAATTTAGTTTCCACTAAGCCCATTTTTGCTGTTGCAGATGATACCCGCATATCACAAGCAAGGGCCATTTCTAATCCACCTCCAAGAGCTGCGCCATCAATGGCTGCAAGAGTAGGTATCGGTAAATCATGCAAATCTGTAATCGACTGACGAATTTTGCTTACAAATGGTCCAACTTCAGCCTCTGGCATAGCAGCGCGCTCTTTCAAATCAGCGCCTGCACAGAATGCATTTTTTACCAAACTGTGTATAATAAGCACACGCGAATTTTTATCATATTTAACAGTTTCAACAATTTCGGCAAAAGCAGCCAACAGTTTTTTCCCTAATGCATTTCTCGTTTCAGGTCGATTCAAACCTAGCGTAACGATGCCTTGACGATCGCCAGAAAGATATTCAACTACCAGTCCCTGAGAATTGACATTAGTTATTTTGCGAACAGTTTGCTTAACAGGATATAGTAATTTAAGAGAAACTGAACGATTGCACAGTATTCCAAAACTTTTAGAAATATTAACAAGCATCTTTAATTTTGCACCCTAGCACTAACAAATCACGTGACTAAAATTTACTGCCCTCTAGGAACTATCAAACATTACTCAGATACAACAGAAAAATATTAATCTACCAGATTTAAGAGCTGCCTCCACAGTTGCTAATCCAGTGTTACCGGATGCACCAAAAATTATAACTTTTTTAAGAATTGACGACATTGATTCGCAAATGTTTACATTCAAATCAGTCAACTACGGGTGTGGTTTGTAAACAGTAACATGATTCCGCACAGCCATAAATCAAAGCCTATCAACGAAATAAAAAAGAAAAATCTTCTTCTCTGATTTTAATTTTTATTGATAAAAAGTAAATTACATCGTATAAAATTTTAAAATACATTTACACAATATATGTAAATGTTTGAATAATTTGTTTGGTATTTTCTTGCGTACAAAATAAATTTTAATATGAATTAAATTTTGCTTCTCTTTTACTTTTAAAAGCATTGAAACTCATTTTCTAAATTTTTAATCTATTCAAGACTTTTGATAAAATTGAATTGTTGGAAATTGCTGCAAAATTGGCGGTTATAACTATCACTGTGCGAAATGTAAATATCGTCATAGTCACGTCTATCTACAAGAAGCGGTAATTATATATATTAAATGTTCCTCATTCTTATATTGCTTTTTAGAAATAATATGTATTATGTAAAAGCAAGCATTTTTGTACGTTTACTTGGTATCCTGCTATAAATGATGGTTTTAGCGGTGCTGCCTGTCATTCTATCCAGACAGTGTTCGTGTCATTCGTATGTTTTGCCGCGATTTCAGTCTTTGATTTCGCGTGTTGTTGTTTTAGTCTTTGCAGTGTGTGGTTTAATCCTAGTATGCGGTGCACACGGGATTTGGCTACTTTTGGCGATTTTATGATGAGCAATAAAAATAGGACATGTACGATGAGTAGTAAACAGGTCATTCAAAGAATATATATAGTATATATTATGTATGTATACACATAGTATATAGTGTATAGTATATAGACGTTCTTTGGATCATTATTGGTGTTAGCGATAATTTTCAAAATAGCGACGTTCTTTGGATCATTTTTGGTGTTGGCGATAATTGTCAAAATCACGCCAAGGCTGCACCGTATACTAGGATTTTACCAAGTGTGTTATTGTGTGTCACTTAATTTTCGAGCTCCGCGCGTCAAACTGGCAAATGCCTATTTATTCTTCATTTTATTGTCATTCTTCTGACATATGAACATAAAATATTCATCTAATTGTGTACTAATAATCGAAATATTGTATTTACTGACTGAAATTTTTTGCAATAAAATTATCATGGGGTTTCTAGTGTAGAATTGGGTGCCCCTTCGATTAGCGATTTTTTTTTTTTTTTTTTTTTAATTTTGGCGATGAAACCTCATTTCTGGTTACCATGATAGTTTTAACTTTGTTTCACGTTCCTGATTTTTTTTAAATGAAAATAGATTCATGTGCACGTGGATAAATTTAAGGCAGTGCGCAGTGCCTAGTTTGTGCAATTCTGGAATTTTTTTTTAAGTACCCATTACAATAATTGGGAATAAATTTCATCACCCTAAAAATGGAAGTTAAGAAAAAGTTTACTATTATGTTATAGTAATTCATTTATCCACATACTCTTGATTTTAAGTGTTAGTAATTTTGATGAAAGGCAGAAATTATATCCTGCTTGGAAGTTCTGAAGAATTCGGAAAAAAATATTCTGTTGTATTAGTTTTGATTATGTGTTTATAAGTCTGTGCTCTTACAAAAGTATTCTTAGATACTACTAACTAGACCCTTGGTCTAAACATTGTTTTAAAAATACTGCAGTAATTTTATTTGGGAACTACTCTGATATGCACCCTCAAGTCGCCAAATTTCTTGGCAAACATTTTTAAAGAGAAACTCCACGCTGCCATATTACTATCTAAATTTTTTGTCTACATTTCGAACTTTAAGCCTAGAATTTCTCCAAAAACGTGGTTTTCGCACACACAAAAACCAAATTTTGAACACACAATTTAAGCTAAAAATCTGAAACAAAAACAAAAAATTTAGACGGCAAAAACATAAAGTTTCTAACCAAAAATATTTGAGAAGAATCCATGTATACAGCGATATGTTTTAACTTAAAAAAATCTACAAATGTAATGTAATCGCAACGAACGTATCTATGAACTACTCACACCTCGCTTCAATAAATTAGCATAACAATCAATTTCAAAGAATACCGTGTACACAGCATCCTGTTTAAACTTTAAAAAATATCTACAAAATTGCACAATCTAGACGCTATGCACTAATCAACAAAATAAACTAAAATAACTAGAATAAATTTCAAACAATTCAAATAACAACAATAACAACAGAAATTCATACTAAAAAAACAATGAACATAACATTCTACAAAATAAGAACAAGAATAAAATAAAATGCACTTACCATGAATTAATGCTTTATGGAACAGCAGAAATACCAATTTCATACCACCTTTAACATGCTGCCACGTAATCACTATCGTATTTATATGACAACCAGGCACACTATCCAGAAAATTTATACTATGGTTCACAAATAAATAAAATCGCAAATAATTACAAATCCCTACTTCTATCATGCACAGCCACTAAAAGTAATCTCCCAGACCCTCTTTCCACACCTCCAAATACCCACTGTCCCTCAATAGGATGGCCACGATGATATTCCTTTTGCCGAACTTCAATTTAACAACTTCCACCATTTTATCTTTCCCCTATCATCGCGAACTAGCGAGCTCCGGCGAAAGATTTTTCAACGTCAACTGAGTTGCCATACAACACACAATCGTGCCCCAAACCAGCGCAGAACATGTATCGCCACATTTGGTGAAATTAGAGCGTATATCGGACCTTTATTATATGTACCTTTATTTGTAATAACAACTAAAATTTCTAGAGATATTGTATGGTAACTCATGATGGCTGTTTTAAGAACCACATGCATGTTGGAAGAAAAAGAAGTGAACCAGAGAGTGTCTCACTAAGGACCGCTTCAAGTTTTAGGCTCGTATCAAGTCATAGATAGATCTCTGAAAACAATTAAAAAATTATATATTGGGTTCAGCTTGGAAATTTATATATAGTAGTCTATGAAATGTTAATAAAGGCAGACTAGAAGAGAAACATGCTAATGTGACAATCAACGAAAGTCAATCCATTTTGACTTTCGTTGCTTCTTTCCACTTGGCTATTGGTTTTCAGTATTGGATGTTTTTCTCCTTTTGGAATGTTTTTGTCCTTGTCATATGTTGATGAAATTATGTTATGTCCAACCTTGTCATATGTTGATGAAAATTGTCTTCATTATTTATTGGTGTTTTTTCATGTTATAAGTAATTCCTTTTTTGGACTTTCGGAATTATATTTCTTTTGTTCACTGGTTTCTTGCTTGTACCCTTTTCACAATATGTCCACTGACAGGAACTGATTTTGTATGTTACGCCTTAAGCGTACGAAATTCTTGAATCATCTACAGTTTCTACTTAAATGCAAACATCAAAATATCATTCCCAAATTTATACATGTGAAATGTAGCCTTAAAGCTTCCGTTCACGTTTAAAAAATTTTGCATAAATTCAAATTGGCACTTCGTCATATTATAAGGGACATGCACAAACATTTATCTAAAATTGAATTTGAATTATATTACCTCCATTTAAAAATTGCTAATTCAACTGAAAATTTTTTCTCATTTGAACATACATCCTGGTCTAGAACCGCTACCGTTTGTTAACAGCATAAAAATGTGCTTATTTCTAAATTCCTTAAGCTCACACACCAGTCGGATAGTCCCACCTATCTAGCTAATCTTCCCACTGTAAACGTTAACCCCATCGTTAATATCTCCAATAGGAATCTTTCGGAGGATCAGTTAAAAGTATTAAAATATAATTTCAACTTTTCAAAGACATCTAAACCTTCAATTCGTCAAATCATCGCTCCTATAGAGAAAGTCTTTAAATTCTCCAAAATTTTGGAAACGCAGAAGGATACAATCCGCCACCTAATTACTCATAACGTTAATTTTAACAACAAATCTTCCGGTTCGAATCTTAGCAAAAAGGAAAATGAAATCGTATGTGAAATTCATTCTGATACTAATATCATTATCTCTAAAGCTGATAAGGGCGGACAGATCGTTATTATGGACAAACACACATATATTACTGGAGTCTCTAAACTGATAAATGAAGGCCCATACTGCTCGATCTCAAAAGATCCTTCAACTTCGAACCTCACGAAAATTAAAAGTGCTATCAAATCTTCTCATATTCTGCCAACGCAGTTGAAGAAATCACTTATTCCACCTATTACTAATTGCACTAGGCTTTATGCTCTTCCAAAAGTCCACAAAACCGGTATTCCTTTTCGACCAATTGTTTCCAACATAGGTACTGCTTCATATCCTTTGGCCAAATATTTAGTTTCCAGATCTCTCAAATAATTATTTTCCAGATTCTCTTTTACTTGCTAATAATATTCACACTGTAAAAAATTCTGTTGAAGTCATTGATAAACTTCAAAATATTTCTCCACTTCGTTCCATTATGGTTTCATTTGATGTCAAATCACTGTTTATTAATGTTCCAGTCGAAGGAGCACTAAATTGTCTTGAAACTAGGCTTCGGGAATTTCACTTCACACGTACTGAAATTAATGAGTTGGTTTTGCTTACTAAAGTCTCTCTGAGTCAAACCCACTTTGTTTTCCAAAATGCATATTTTCGTCAAGTTGAAGGATTGGCTATGGGTAATCCTCTCAGTCCGGTACTTGCTGACATTTATATGCACTATTTTGAGATGAAATTATTTGATAAACTATCTTTTCGTCTTTGGATTCGGTATGTTGACGACACTTTCGCACTTTTTGACAGTTATAAAGAGGATTTATCCGAGATTCTATCTATTATGAATTCAATTGATCCAGCCATCCAATTCACTCTTGAAATTGAATCCAACAATTCCCTCCCCTTCCTTGATATTCTTATAATCCACAATGAAACTGATCTTAGCACTACTGTGTACCGTAAAGCCTTTGCAGTTTGTTTACCACCCCATGCCAAGTCATGCCACCCTGTTAAGCAAAAAATGGCTTCTTTTTACTATTATGTATTCCGCGTGCTTAAAGTTTGTTCCTTTGAATCTTTGCTTACCAATGAACTTAATTATTTGAGAGCAGTTGCGATTAACCATGGATTTTCTCCCGTGATTATTGATAAAGCCGTTAAAACATTTTCAGATTCCCATCAAAGAAGACATTCCACTGTTAGAAATAATATTAACGACCTTGTCGTGCTTCCATTTTATCCTTCTGTTAGTTATAAAATTGCACGGATTCTCCAGAAATTCAATTTTCAAGTCAGTTTCTCCCCTATTAATAAAATTCACCCTTCGATTCTAAAAGATTGCGTTTCTGTCTTGAATTCTTGGGGAATTTATAGTATATCGTGTCAGTGTGGTTTAAGATATATTGGCCAAACAAAAAGAGCATGTAAGTTTTGTATCAAGGAACATGAATTTTATGTCAGAAAAGGCGAAATTAACAAGTCTTCAATAGCGTATCATAGTTGGACATTT